GTGCTCAGGTTCCTTATTTGGATGGTGCAGTGTTTCATATCCTCCTGTGAGATGTCCCAGCAGTGTGCTCCGACTCCCCTAAACCAATACTAATAACACCACCAACAACAATTAGTGGCCACTGACTGTAAACAAGGCACACGGCCAAGTGCCCTGCTTGCCCTGGGTCCTGTCTTGGAGTCCCTGTGGCAGCCCGAGCCGCTGACACTGTCCCATTCCTCCCACCGATTTAGCAGATGACGAAATAGAGGGGGGTCAGGATCCAAGGCAGGTCTGTGTGACCCCAAGCCTCTTTCCGAATGCCAGGCTCTGTTGTCCTGGGAAAGGCAGCGGGGACTGGGCTGGCTTGAAAACAAGCAAGAACCTTCCGGCAGTGGCCATCTCAAAGCTGCTGGTGAGGGACTTTAAGGGAGTTTGAAGGTGCCTTCCTCAATCACCCTGAGTAAACTGAGAGGTTGCCGTGGAAATCCCCCAGGCGTGTGACCAGCTCTGTCATTTGGAAACAAGGCTCTCCCAGCCTGCCCGCAGAGGGAAGTCCACATTCTGGTCCCTTCTGTCTGTCAGCCTCTTTCCTCCTGGAAGGAAGGGGTCACCAGGGGTCATGCCTTTATTGACCCTCTGTTGTGTGCCAATCATCCTACCTATAATCATGACAAAGCTGCAGGGTCCCATGGGCCCCATTTTCCAGACGGGAAATGGGACTTCAAGAGATCAAGTGACATGACCCAAGCAACACTTTTACTGAGCCAGAATTTGAAGCCAGAGCTGTGTGATATCACTTCGGTGGCTTTCCTTTCACTCTGTGACCTCAGCTGTTCACAGTCTAGGACACCCCCTCATCTGGAAGACCCCACTGAAGGACTTCCTTGCTGAGGTTTGAGCCCAGGTGATTTTTAATTATCATCATCCTCATTGTTATGGTGGAAATGTACTGAAGGATAACAGAGACAGGAAAATGCACAGACCGTGACCCGGCTACTAGATGAATTTTCACAGTTGAACGTGTCCATGCAACCAACACCCAGAGACAGAACATCAGCAGCACCTCAAAGACCTCTAAGGACCCTTGCAGTCACCATGCATGTCTGTGGGCAACCACTGTTCTGACTTTGGGACATCATTAAGATGGAATCCCTGGCAGCCCGCCCTCTATCCTGCCATGTGTAAGAGATTCATCCCGATCACCGTGGTTCATCCATTCTGTGGTTGACGGACATCTGAGAGGTCTCAGTGGTCTTCTGCCTGGTGCAGAATGGAAAGAGTGGTCACCCTCTTTCCAAGGCCAAGTTCAAGTGTCTCCCCTAGCATCCGCCCCCCTGGCAGGACCAGAGGTCCAGGTCCCTGCTCCTGCACAGTTGCTGTGCTTCTGAGCTGCACCCTCCTGGGTGGCATCCAGGCAGGCGTCTGTTCTGGTAACAGGGGCTTTGCAGGGAGGGGAGGTCTCTGGACACTGATTGGAAGATCATGCTGTTACTCATGGGAGATCTCTGGAGGAGGAGGCTCCTCTCCTTCCTGCAGTGCGGTTGAGGCTGCAGGTTCCCCCGGATGCTCTCCCTTCCACACCTGTCTGGGCTGGGAGTGTGAGGAAGCACCCTGGGGGAACACCTGTATACAGACTCTTCTGTGAAACAGGGACGAGGGCAGTGCCTGATTACATCCCACATATGTGAAGTGTGGCCTAGTAAGGGTGGCCTCTGGCAGGCACCTGTGCTGACCCCAGCTCCGCCATGTACCTGCTCGGTGACCCTAAGTTTATAACCTCCCTGAGCCCCAGTTTCCTCACCTATAGTAGGGGAATAGCTGCCTCTCCTTCCTAAGGTGGYTGTGGATACAAACAAGGTAACAGCCCAGGGCCTGGCACCTGGCAAGACCCGCACAGTGGTGACTGTTAATATTAGAGACTTCTCTCCAGCCTCCAAGCTCCCTCCTGCGCCCTCCCCCCCCACCTGGAGAGTTGCTGACTCTGGCCCAGCAGGGTCAGCAGGGTTTTTCCAGCTGTGACCAGTGACCCCAAAGCACAGACTTTCTGGCAAGTCTTGAGATACTCAGGGCTGAAAGGCTCCGAGACACTGCAGCTGCAGCAGAAGCCGGGGGTTCTAAGTCCATGTGAACTTTCAGAGAATGGAGAAGTCTAACATCTCCCCACCTTGGGCCACAGCAAATTCACTTCTGGAAATCTAAAGAAGCCAATAAACAATAGTAGAAGACCCAGAAATGACCCCAGTGATAGAATTAGGAAGGTTGAAAGTTATAACAACATCTATATGTTTAAGAAGATAAAGGAAAGCGTGAATACATTGAGAAGCATYGAAGATAAAAATAAGACCCAGCTCAAATTTATAGAGGGAAAAAAACACACTGAGATGAGGCATAGGATGAAGAGCAGGTTAGACAACACAAAAGAAAAGGATAGCTATTTATTCTATTTAGATAAACAGTAGTGATGAGGATAAAGAAGGGTTGATGATACTGATGCTGCTGATGGGAGTAACCACAGACCACATTTATTGGTCTCCAGCTATGGACCAAGCCCTTTTCACGAGTTGTATGAGCCCAGTCTCAGTTACTATAAAAAAATACATGAGGTCTTCTATCTTAGAAAGAAAAAAAAGGTTTATTAAGCTCACAATTTTAGAAGCTTACCTAGATTGGGCAACCATATGGCTTTTGTCTCCGGTGAGGGCCTCTTTGACTGTGTCACATTGCAATGAATGGCATCATGGCAGGAGCACATGTAAGAGGGAGAGATCACATGTCCAGGCAGGAAGTCAGAGAGAGACAGGGAGAGTCAGTAATGACCTCCTGCTAAGCCCCGTCTCTTCAAGGTCTCACCACCTGTTAACATTGTCATACTGGGGACCCAGCTCCCGCCAACCATTTCCAAACCATGGCATATACCATCTCCATAAACCCTCACAGCAGTCCTATGGAGTGGGTACTGTCCCCACCTATTTTACACGGGGTGGGGGGGATAGAAAACATGGAGCTAAACAACTTGCTTCATGTTGAGCGGCTAGGGTGTTGGGGAGGCCAGGCCTTCTCCCTGGGCCTCCTGACCTCCACGTAACAACAGCCCCGGAGTCGTGTTGGCCTCATGGCACCTTTCAAGGAGCGAGGTGGGTGCAGTGTGCCTTGTGCCCAGTACCTTGAGACCTCACAGCAGTCAGAGAAGGGAGGAGCCCCTGGCCCCGTTGTGCAAATCAGGAAATCAARGCCCGTGGAGGTGACGTGATTTGCCCAGGGTCCCACAGCTGGCAAGAGAAGGGCCCACCGTTTGAACCAGGCCTCTCTGGCTGCGAACTCCTCCTGAGGAAGCGCTGTGGGGCCCTGGAGGTGCCGGGAAGTGGAGCAGTTAAGGCTCTTTGCGGATCGGTGTTTGCTTTCTCGCTCGGTGGGGAAGGGTTCCCTGGAAGCAGCGCAGAGCTGGGATTCTGCTACTTCTGCTTTTGCCCCAAGAGTACCAGGGAGGGAGACATAGCCTCTGCCCTGGTGAGCTTTACTTATTTATTTTTAGTGTAAAGCGCCCCGTGGACAGTGGAAAGGAAGGAGTGTTGAGCATGCCCAGGGGATGAGGCGTATCAAAGACCATGCCAGATGGGAGGAAGCCTTGGAGGTGAGGTCTTGTCCGTGGTCTTCTTGGTGGTGATGCCTCCACAGGTGCACATCCGTCCCCAAACTCATCGAGCTGGGTACGTTGAATGCTTGTTGTTAATTGCATGCCAATCAGACCCCCCTGAGTGTTTTCTTGAAAAAGAATATGTCAGAGACATCTGGTTTGCATGCTATTTAATTACTTTGCATGTAGGTTGTTTTCTCATTTATGAGGTGGCCAGTTGGTTACTGAGTTAAGGAGGAAAGACAAAATCGGATTTAAAAGAGAGAGGGGAGAGAGAGAGAGAGAGAGAGGACCTGAGAAACAGTGAACCTTGCAGCAGAGACTGTTGCCAGCACAATTTTGGGTGTGAACTAATTAGCCAGCAGCGAGGAGATAGGCCTGAGTATGATGTCCAAAACAGGGTAACCGTCCCCAGCCACCAAAAAACCACTTTCTACAGTTCCTTGGAACTCTCAAGGCTGATGTCCCTGTGCAATGCCCAGCGCATCCTGCCAGCCGTGCCTGCCCTTGCTGGGCTGGGGCCACACACCATTTGTCTCATTAGATTCTCACACAGAAGCTGGGGCTTCGTTGACAATACCCAGTCGTCTTGAAATTGTGCCGGGCTTTGGCTCAGCAAGTCCACATCAGGAAAGGATTCTGGACATGAACCGGGATGCRTGGTAGTTCTTTCGCTTCACTAGAACAGGAAAAAATTGGGAACAACCCACGTGTCCGTCAATAAGGGAGTCATCAAATAAATGGTAGAGTCGTATAGTGGAATCGGAGGGCAGCTCTCAAAATGTTACTGCAAGAGAATATTCAACAACGCAGCTCAAATGACACACTCAAATCACATCAGTGAGTGAAAAGGACCGACTACAAAGTACTACACGTAACTCTTTCCTAGTTTGGTTGGGGGAAAGTATGTAGTTATAAAGATAGATAATGGATGGGTAGGTAGATGATGGACAGACGGACAATAATGGGGCCCGCAGCACAYACACCAAAATATCAATATTTCATGGATTTGCAGGTGATTCCAAACTTCTTGCTGTATTCTAAATCTTTCAAATTGAATTTATGTTTCTTTTATTAAATAGGGAAAGTGGGGCTGGGATGAGGCTCCGTGGGAGAGCCTTGCCTAGAGTGCATGGGGTCCTGGGTTTGATTCCCAGTGCTGCACGGAAAAAAAGAGAAAAAGGGGGATATTAAAAACAAAATTACAATTTCTCAACCCCAGAAAAGAGGAAGCCGAAGGAGCAGTGGTCATTTCCCCTGGAGCTGGGGCTGGAGCTGGTGGGGGCGAGGCCGGGCGGGTGCATCTGGTATAAGTGCCCGTGCCCCTGCCCRGCCTGCATGCGGGCGCTTCTGGAAGTGGCCTGCGCTGCTCTGRGCTGGCGTCATGAGACTTGCCCTGCTGTGTGGGCTGCTGGTGGCGGCTGGTGAGTGGGGACGGGACCCGTGCTGGGGAGGAAGGCGGGATGCGGACGGGCCCTCCACGCTCCTCTGTGGACTGGGCGGCAGCTGCTCTGACCCCTGCCTGCACCCGGTCCTCCAACCCTTCCACCCCCTACAAGGAGCCACCAGTGGCTGCCAGTCCCCTAGGAGGGTGACTTCAGTCAGAGAGCCACAGGTGGCCACACTGGGTGGTGTGCCGAGCCCCAGGGCCTGCTGGGCTGACCCCTGTGGCGGTTTGGACACAAGTTACAGGAAGGGGACCCTCCCACTTGCTCACCCTGATCCTTTGATGGAGCCTTAGCCATCTTCTGTACACACAGAGCACTCTGCTTAGAGAGACAGCCCTTTCATGTCCATTACCACTGGACAAGGGAAGGTGTTCCATTGACCATTGGTGGGAAGGGGGACTGGGGCAGCTTCCGCCAAGTCTTCAACAGACCAAATGTGAAGATCACGAGCAAATTACTTCCTGCTTTGGTTTTCATGCTCCATCTCAAAATAAGTGACTTTACAAAGGTCTTGGTTTCTGTTGTTGTCGTTTTCTCTTGTTGGCCCCGAGGATTGAACCCCGTGGCACTCTATCACTGAGATACATTCCCAGCCCTTTTATTTATTCTTTATTATTTTGAGACAGAGTCCTGCTAAATTGCTGAGGCTGGCCTCAACCTTGAGGGCCTCCTGCTTTGGCTTCCTGCATCGCTATGACTATGGGCTTGCCCCATCACGCCCAGCGTGGTCTTGTGTTTTTTTTAAAAAAGAAATTTTATGCTGTCTTGGGACTCTTCGCAACTGAAGAGCCACAGTCCTCTGAGGTTACAGTGAAAATTGTTATAAAATTTGCAAACAAGCTACAAAAATTCGTCTCTCAGATGTAAAGAGGCAACACAGTGTAGAGACGAACCTGCATTCAAGCAGGACCTCACCATCTCCTTGGCCCAGTCCCCCAACCTCGCCACAGCCTCATCTGTTAAATGGGTACAAAGCATCCCCTACACAGAACACTGATGCCACGTCTGGAGCAGGTGTGAGCAGTGCTAAGTAATAACACGTGGCTCGTGCACAGAGATGCAGCATCTCCTTCTGCCCCGCCACCTTCTTGGGGGCAGTTGAGGCCAGGAAAGGCTATCAGGACAGCAGTTGCTAGCAGGCTAAGCCAGGTCACCAAAGCCCCTGTATGCGTGGCATGTGCTCAATTTCTCAGGCTGGACTTGTCCTCACTGAGATTTTTGGTAAACAGCTGGGCACAGTGGCACACACCTGTAATCCCAGTGGCTCTGGAGGCTGAGGTAGGAGGATCTCAAGTTCCAAGCCAGCCTCAGCAAAAATGAGCTGCTAAGCCACTCGGTGAGACCCCGTCTCTAAATAATATACATAAAAGGATGTGGCTCATCCCTGGTGGTCGAGTGCCCCTGAGTTCAATCCCTGGTACCCCCCAAAAATTATGATAAAGAGAGAGAGGGGGAGGAGGGGAGAGAAGAAGAGAGGAGGGGGAGGGAAAGGAAAAGAGGGCAGAGGCCACGAAGAAGGGCAAGGATCTGATTCAGGTCTTTGGCTGATCTACAAGGTGGTTGCCCTGGGGTTCCTCATCACAGAATCTGGGAATCCCTGAATCCCTGATGGGAATCCCAGATGATTCCAGAGGGCCTGGGACCCTTCATCAACAGTCAAAGCTTAGCATCCCATTCAGCTAGAGCCACGGGGTCAAACGGGAGTGGCAGTGTGGGCTCCCACATGTCAAGGGGACACAACAGTCCACTCACTTCTAGTTGCAGCCCAAGGCCACCTGCTTGTGATCTCAGCCTTTGTCCCCTACACGAGTCCCTCCCAACCCCTCACTTGAACCCCTGTGTCCTAAGGAGTTTCACTGCAGCCTTGTTCCCTGAGGGTGGGGTACCATGGCTAAGGTCACCTGGAGGGGCCCCCTGGCYCTGTCTCCCTGTGAGACCCTGGGCTCCACCTGGACACACAGGCCCCATGATCTTGAACAATTGCTCAGGGCCACAGTCCAATTCTGTCACCGTCTTGTGTTGCCTGTTCCTCCCGTGGTCCTCCCCGAGTTCCCTGACTTAATGTACTTTATTTCTCCCAACTCAGCCTGACACGTTCCTCTCCCCCAGTGAAATGGATTTCCCCTCGTGGTGGATTCTAGCCCGCAGCTATTGTGACTGAAGTGAAAACCSTCGATTCCTAGGTCACGCTGCTTCCGGGAGAGCCACACGGGCTCTTTCACACTGGAACGGCCCTGGGGGGTGGGTGGAGGGGGTAGCATTGGACTTCTTCCCCTTGAGAAAGGGAATCAAGGCCAGAGACAGAGAAGGTTCCAGGCTGCCTTGGTTCCCATTCTGATTCCATTTGCCACCTCCCCCGTGACCTTGAGCAAGTCGCTGAGCCTCAGTCCGCTCATCTGAAACCAGGGATCAAACATGGTACCTTCAGCCACACCTAAAAAAAAAMCAAAAAAGGCGTCTGTTGTTCCCAGGTTGGTTTTCACAAATGCACCGTGACTGTGTAAAGTGGATGGGGGGACGCGGGGGCCTCTGTGTTATTTCCACCACTTTCCTGTACGTCTAGGGTTATTCCAAAATAAAAAGTCTATTTRTTTAAAAAATTAGCACRTGTCWCATGGGATGGAGATAAATCAATACAGAAAAAGACCTGCCCTTAATATATAAAAATATAACTGTCATGATATTTTTATTTTATTTATCTTACTTTTTGGTTCTGGGCATTGAACCCAGGGYGTGGTAAGTGCTCAGCGCTCCCAGACAGCACTGTATTTTTGGTCATGGGCGTAGTTGTTATTTTATCCTCATTATCCTTCGAAGTTCACCATCCCCTCATCCAGCAGAGGTGCCACCCTGGGGCCCACGGTGTCCCCGGGATGTCCGTCCCCTCTCCTCATTGCTGGACTCTTTGCCAGGTCTGACTCCAGCCCAGGGAGGCCTCCTGAATCTGAACAAGATGGTCCGGCAAGTGACCAAGAAGATTCCCCTCTTCAACTACTGGCCCTATGGTTGTTACTGCGGACTTGGTGGCAGAGGCCAGCCCAAAGATGCCACCGACTGGTAACCCCCTTCCCAGGCCCCTAGTCCTAGCCTGAGACGCTCCTTTCTTCTCCATTCATGGATTCATTTAATGAATTCATTTTGCTGAGCACCTACTATGTTACAGCCTCTCCTGAATCCCCACCCTGCTGGAGTTGGCCTTCTAGGTGGTAGGCCAGGTCTCTGCAGGTCTGACCCTCTTGCACTCCTGTCCCCTAATCTAGTGATGACACCTCCCCCGCCACACACTCCCTAATGCCACTGTACGATGTGTTTCAAAGCCCCCGCCTCTTTTTGCTGAGTCCCATTTGATCCTCTCAACCACCCTGGGAATTGGCCAGAGGAGAGGTGAGGCCCGCCAGGGCTGGGGGCATGTCCCTGAGCCACCACTTACAGGCTGACTTCCTCGAGCCTTGGGTGGTCTCGAGGATGAAGAGAGATTGTTCAGTCTCGGCAGGTGCCTAGGGCACCAGAGGCATCAATGTTAGCTACTATGATCCTTGACTCTTCCCAGGTGGGCTCATGGGTGGGAAGAGCCAGAGACCTGGGCGAGCTAGTGACCCATGCCGCTGGGCGCCCTGCCTGTTCCACCAGGTGCTGCCAGAARCATGATTGTTGCTACAAACACCTGAGGACCTACCAATGCAGACCCAAGAGGGACCATTATAATTACACCTTTTCCCAGGGGGACGTCCAGTGCCGTGAGTACCTGGGTATTGGGGTTAGAGCTGAGGCTCAGGAGGGGAGTTCTGGCCCTCACTGCCTTTGAAGGCTGAGTGGCCATGCGTAAGCTACTTGACCTCTCTGTTCTTCTTGCGTGTCTGGTGGCAGCAGCTGGGCTGTGGAGGAGAAGCAGGCATGGGTGCGGGGTAAGGAGAGGTCCAAGGGGAGGTCTGATTCTTTTGGCATCTGGAAGCCAGGCCTAGCACTGATCAGTTCTGTGACCACAAGCCCGCTGTTTAACCTCTCTGAACCTCAGTATCCTTATCTGTAATCTACTCCATATAGTTATTGCAAGAACTCAAATGAAACCAACAGAATGAGCCTCACACGCTCAGAAAACCACAGGGCTGCCCTTGGCATKGCTATTACTTTCACCATTATTGATCCTCATAACAGCCCAGAAGGGGGCAGCAAGACCCCGATCTCCGTTGCACAGAGGAGGACACTCAAACTAGAGCAGGGAAGCGTTTCCCTGGGTCACAGAGTTCCTTTGACAGGTCACCTAGGCCCTAGGTCACAGTGTCCCCAACATGGAGAATGGTAGCTGGCCCTCGGGCTGAGAATCTAAAGGTCTTTTTTATAGCAGAAGTTGGTGACTGAAGGCTTCATTTATTTTTGTTTTGTTTTTGTACTGAGGATTGAACCCAGGGGTGCTCTGCCACTGAGCCCTTTATTTATTTATTTTTTTGTTTTGAGACAGAGTCTCTCTGAGTTGCTGAGACTGGCCTCCAACATGTGAACCCTCCTGCCTCAGCCTCCCGACTCACTAGGTCTATAGGTGTGCACCGCCATGCCCGGCTCACTAAGGGCTGAATAATAACCATACCCACTCCAGGCTAAGCACTTTGTACTCTTTAATTCCCACCATGGCCTTCTGAGCAGCCCCCGTCATTARCCCCACTTTCCAGATACCGAAACGGAGGCAGGTGGTCCCTGGGGCCTGGAGTCTGCACGTTCTCCTCCCTCCTGGCCCCTCCYTCCCTGCCCTCCCCCGCTCCCCCTGGAAGGAGGAGACGCTGCAGCCAGCCTGGGGCTCCCGTGGCCCCTCACCACCGTCCCACCCGTCCTCTCTAGCCCTGCGTGTGCACTCATTCTGCGGCGGTCTCATCCCTGTCCCCCCAACCCCGGCCACCCGTTCTGTTCCGTGCTCTCCCTCCAGGACCAGCCGTGTGGGTGTGGGGTGCTCCATCCTTGGGTAGTGGGTGGGTGACAGTAGGCAAGGACCAAGACACGCAGGGAGTCCCATGGCTTTGGGGGCACCTCCAGGCTGAGGTGGCCTTCCCGGGCCCCTGGACCAGGTCTTGTCTGGGCTCCCCGGCAGCGGCTCACGGCCCCCTCCTCCACCCGCAGCCCACAGGGGGAGCTGGTGCGAGCAGCAGCTGTGTGCCTGTGACAAGGAGGTGGCCTTCTGCCTGAAGAGCAACCTCGACTCCTACAACAAGCTCCTGCGATTCTACTGGCGGCCCCGCTGCCGGGACCCCACTCCTTCATGCTAGAAGCCCGACTSGCTGCCCCTGCCCTCCTTCCCCATCTCGGGRCATGGCCRTGGTCCCGCCCCGGCATCTAGCCCSCTGGATTTGAAAGCAGTCCAGGGGGAAGGGCCCCTCGCCCTTGCTGGGCCCGACCTCTGGACTCGCCCRCCCCAGGCAGGGCCGGCTCCCCTGAGGGTGGGCGGAGGCCAGGGAGCACCCAGGACCATGAGGTTGGGCCAAAGCACTCAGCGGAGGGGTGCTGGGGGTCGTGGCAGCTGTGTGGGCCTGGCTCCCTGCCACCGCCACCCCTGCTGGTCCCCCTCACCAACTCCAAGCCTCAGCCTGAGTGGCTGCTGTAAAGCACAATGCTGAGCATCCTGTCCCAGTGACTCTTGAAACCCCCAGGTCCTCCACGGCCCCAGCATACAGCCCCTCAGAGCTCRGCCGTCTGGTCCCATGTCCCTCTTCCCAACTGGGCCCCATAGAGTCCAGCCCCTCTCCCCAAGCTGCACCCCAGAGCAGCCTCAGAACAGAGCAGGCCTCCACAAACTCTGAGGCCAGGATGGGAGGAGGCCATGATGGGAGGAGGCCGTGGCTCTTGTAGCTCCAAGCTCCCTCCTGGCCTGCTGTCCTGCCTCTGGCACTTGCTCAGGGTCCTTCTGCAGAAATGTGGCCTGTGGCCCCCTCCTCCTGGATGGCCTCCCGGGCCTCTCAGGGAGAAAGGGCTGCTTCCTAKGAGAGTCTTCCTGGCTCATCTCTCCTCCCTGCACCTCCTGGCTCCCCTGGCCCTGGCTGGGGCTTCCCATGAGGGGTGAATGGGATCCTCCCCGACCCCAGCCAGACAGGAGCACCTCGGGGACACAGACCACGTCATCTGTGCTTCCTCGGCTTCCCACGTGCTCGGTGCTCGGTTACTGTCGGGGATCAGATGAGCTAATCATGAACCCGCAGGGGCTGGAGAGGATGTCGGTGTCCCGTCCAGATCCCTCCCGGGCTCAGGACCCCACTCCCAACCAGGCCAGGTATTGGCTCCAAAGCCCCCACATCTGCCCTCCTTCTCTTTTCTGGGAGTTTCCTGGCCCTGCACCCCCCATACACACACCCAAGGAGGCCACCCGTGACTGACCAGAGAGTTCAACACCCTGGAGGGCACAGCTGCCTGGCCCCACTGCCTCCATGCAGGACCATCTGGGTCAGTGCCCAGAGTTCCTCCGGGGATCAGGGTGGTAGGAAGCCCCAGAGACTTCTGGAACCACCTCCCCTCCCTGCCTCTTCCGCTGGCCCGGCCTGTTCTCCTGGTTCCCTGCGGCTTTCTCCAGAGACAGGCCTCGGTGAGAAACTTGCACAGGATCCTCGTGTGGGCTCTGCTTCTGGGGAAACACACATTTAGGCAGATGGCTTTTTCTTATAAGGATCCACAATCTGTCCTTCGTGTATGATGAGCTGTGTGTCCAGCCACGGGGCCAGCTGCGGCACCTGGGGCTCCCCACACTGTGGCCCGTGTCGCACACCCTGCAATGACCTGTGGTAYGGGTTTCCMGAAACTCCGTAGSTCGAGCGAGGCCGTGTGAGRGGAATTAAGAACTATGGGCTCTGGGTCCAAATTGTCATTCTACGCCCACTCCTGTGAGGGACAGTGATGGTAGAGGGGACAGGGGGTTGCTAAATCTCCATTCTTTCCCACCCAAATTTGCTGTGAACCCCCCMAAAATTCTATTTTAAAACATTCCAGTGCTGTCTCTGACTATCCATGGGCCCTACTTGAGGGATCTCGGTTTCCTTGTGTGTAAAGTAGACATGAAAAACAAGAAGAGTTATTATATGTGAGTACTTGTCGCCATGGGCAAAAGGTGCCACTTACGCAGTCGAGGGGGAGAAATAAAGAATGTCCATGCACTTCTGCCCTTTTCCATTCTTAAGTCACTCAATACAGTTTCACTTTATAGGTTCTTACTCAAGAAAATAACCATCCTTAATGCTAGGCACTGCAAAAGACAGAATCAATCCACAGCAAACAATTCTAGATGAATTCTAGGCCCTGCAAACACACTGCATCATGGCAGGCTCATGACAGACGTTCCCTCTGCGAGCTAAGCTCCAGTGTCAGATCTAAAGTCTCCAGCCTTGGGCTCTAAGTCCAGCAGATGCCCATTCACTCAGACCCGGTGATCGGGTCAGGAACCAAGGCAGCCTTCTCCTGGGGTGGAGCTGAGGGCTGGTTGAGGAGAGGGTCGTCGTGGGAAGCTGTGGCTCTCACCAGGGTCAAGATGTGGCTGGAGAGTTTGAGAGYGGTGAGGAAGATGCAGAGGATCAGCAAACAAGGAGAAGAGCTGGGGTGTCAGCCCAGRTCCTCACCAGGCTCTCTGGCATGAGCGCATCCGTGTCGGCTGGCTGAGTGTCTGTTCATTGGCTCCTCATTTATACTAAATTTCGGGGCTTCTTTTGCCTCTGCAAAAGGCAGAGGCACAGGGGCTGCTCTGTGTCCTGTTTGTACCATCCAGAAGGTTCCAGCGAGGCTGGGTAGCCTAGTGGTAGAGGGCTTGCTAGAGAACACGAGGCCCTGGGCTCCATCCCCAGAAGCCCCCACCCTGACAAAAGCAGAAGATGAGGAGCTTCCAGCTGATAACTGGCTCCGTGGATTTCCACGCTGAGGGCGTCGATGATGTCATGGAACAAGAAGTTGACAGGCAGGGGGGTTCCAAGTTTGGCTCTTTGGCAACTTGACGATGTCATCAAAGCCTGGTTTCTCTCCTGCTCCTGGGTGGGCCACCCTGACTGGGCTGGCTTTGCCCTTAGGGGGCCACTCGTGGCTCCAAGATGGCTGCTGTCTTTCCAGACCTCAAACCAGGATCCAGCCCAGAAGATGCTGACTCTTCTGTGTCTAGCCTATCACAGCCACTGGACTTCCCTAGAGGACAGGCCCCCCTAAACCAGTGGTGGCCCAAGGCAATGGTTGGTTTAGAGGCTTCAGGATTTATTTGTCCCTGACAGAGCCAATGTCCCCAAGGGGCAGGTAGCTGATAGAATCAGGACRTTGCATTGCCCAGGCTGAGGGCTGAAATACCCTCATGGTTGAGGGGTAGGGCTGGCTGCAGGGGTCTCCCTGCGACCTCCCCTCACCCAGCGCAGGCCTGGCACCTAGTGGGAGATCAGTCGGTCTTTGTGGTGTGAATGAGTGACTCTCAGGCTGAGACGTGGGACTTAGGGTCAGGGGGCAGGAAGGGGGACCTCAGGCAGCCGGGACGGTGGGTCCCAAGGTAAGCGAAGGCCCTCACCCTTGAGCTCTTCTCAGGTCCCATTTATTGAAATTGGACCAGAAGCTGAAAGGAAGGACAGCTCCCGGGGACATCCGTTCCCCACCCACGTCCCTCACGTGCACCTGTGTGAACCAGCAGGCGGGAGGGCACATCCCCGCTACTTCCTGTTCCCTTCAGGTCACCCAGTGCCCGAGGACACCCAGTGGGGGAGGAGAGGGGCCCACAGGGAACACCTGGCGGGGAACACTGTGACGCCCCTCCCCCTCCCCCACCGCTGCMGGCTCCGGGATAGTCACCTGGGGTTTTGCAGCTGCAGAAACTGAAACTGCCGCCCTGAGTCACAGCTGATAAGTGGCAGGGCTGGAATTCGAACCCAGGTCTCTCTTAGTTCCACCCTAACTCCCACACTCTGTACTGACTCAGCCCGGGTGCCCCAGTGGGGGGATTAGCCACTCCTGGGGACAATGAGGTGGGGGTGGGGTGTGGCAAAGCAGGAGACCAGGAAGAGGGTCAGAATCACTGAGGACGATGGTGGCCCTGGCATGGAGCCCTCCCACCTGGAGTGCCTTAGCCCACACCAGGCCTTTCCGCCCACTGGATGACCCAGGGTTCTGCCTCTGGCCGCCCACCSGGGCCAGCGTGGTGGCCACGGCTCCCAGGTCCCTGTCTGTTTCCTCCCCAGGTCCTGCCCTCTGGCCCGGCTTCTGCCTTCCGGCCCTGGGGCATTTGCCTTCGGGGTGTGTGGGGGGTCCCTGACCCTCACGCTCATGCCTGCGGTCAGCGTGGGAGCTGTCCTGACCCTCACGCTCATGCCTGCGGTCAGCGTGGGAGCTGTCCTGACCCCAGGGCAGCCAGGGACCGGCTCTGCGTCTTCCTCTTCTGCTGGGGACCCGCCTGCTCTCCAGACAGAGGCCTCCAGTTGTTTTTAGATTAAAATGTAAAAAGACTTGAAGGCAGCTAGGGGGGCTCAGAGCAGGCCACCAAGGGCCCCTCCGGGCTTCTTTCACCTTTGGGTTCCTGGCCACGGCATGTGGTTTGGGGACCTGAGTGGGAGATGCTTCCCGGCCCCTCCCACCCAGGGCTCAGCTTGTGCCCCCAACCCGCTCCACTCTCCCCCCTGCCCTCTCTACATCCCTGCTCCCCACCCTCCGGTGGTTCTGTATCAGGTACTCATTGAGCCATTTGTTTCCCTTACCCCTACTCTCCACCAGAATGTGAGCACCTGGAAGACAGGGCTGGAGAGGAACCTTTCCAGCATCCAGAACAAGGTGAGGAGAGGAAATTCTAGTAAGAGGATGAATGAATGAATGAATGAATGAGTAGGGACTGATAGGAAAGCCCATCCTATTTCTCTCAACTGGACTCCTTCCCAGCTGTGTGACCTTGGGCTAGTGGGGCTACTTCTCTGATCCTTGTTTTGTGATCGCTAACATGGAGGTGCTAATGCCTCCCCAGGGAAGGAAAGTTTCCATCCAACCCTCATCTGTTTCCTCATGTGCACCTGCCACTGGTGAGAGTTGGGACAGAGTGGAGGGGCAGGTGGGCAGATGGAAAGGGGCTCCTATGTCACCTCCCAGCCTCCTCCTTCCAGGGATCAGAAATCCACCCCCTGCCAAGAACACCCCCCACTCCCTGGGGGTCACTGGAATGAGGTGCAATCTTTAGGGGGGCTGCCTCTTTCAACCCCAGTGGGCGGCTGAGAAGGGGAAGCTGAGGTGTCCCCTCCTATCAAGGGTCAGCGGAGAGGAGGCCGCAGGTGTTCCTGGC